CTCTTCGAGATCTGACTTTGAGTCAGTCTGGTGAAACATTGGAAATATATTCCAGCGAAGGAATTCGTGCAAATTGCAATTGCAACTCGAAGATAGGCAATATTATTTCATATTTCGTTTTTAAGCAGGTATCATGACAACCATCAGATCTTATATAAGAGCTCTATTCACCCTATTTCGTTGAAGGTGATAAGATGACCGATAGATGAATGTTGCTACAATCAATTGAGTATACCTCACGTTTCTATTGAATCTCACATGGTCTTGCTTCCCAAAAGGTATTCCTATCCAGGCTTGGATGGACTGTAGTTCGGCCTCATCCGGACCCGACTTATCAGCAGTCCCAGCGAGCACGAAACCAAATTGTTCTAGTGCTACGCCAGACTGCCACGAGTGTTCTTGGACCACAGGTCAGGTGGGAATTTGCTTAGTCTGCAATTCCACCCGTAAACTGTCATATGGAAGAGCTATGACCTTCATTAAACTTTACGTCAGTCTGTGACCCGAGGAACCTCGTGGTCGTGTGGCGTAGTGGCTGACGTGTCGGGTTAGAGTCTCGTCGGGGGAGCTGATCCGATCAGTTCAGACGCAGTCCATTCCAGCTTGGGAAACAAGACTGTGTGTGAAATTCAATGGAGACTTGAGGTTTAAGCAAGTGATTGTAGGAAAATCGAGCTACCCATCTTTCGTCATTTTAAATGAAATAGGGTAAATACAGCTCTTAAAGACTACAATTCACACATTTGTCCATTCTGCCTTTCAACGCTGTACCCCATTCACTGGTGATTGTAGGCTTTTATGTGAAGATGTGTGATGTGCGACATAAAATAGTGGCATAACTTTTGTCCCGTTTCTTCCTCATAGCCTTGCTGATTGGAGCACGAGAATTTTCGTCTGAAACATGTCCTAATCTGGAGTTGCTATGGCCGCTGCTGTTTCAGATTGAATGGGTAGATATATTTAAGTGAAATTATGACGTTTTGATTGTCTCCAGCACCACTCAATGTTGACTCTGATTCGCTGATCTGCCAGTTCTGCTGTGGACGAAGATTAGCTTCAGTTTAAGAAGTCTGGAATTCGTCTTGAGACAACTGCTCGCCTTCCTTGAGCTGGTGATGATCAGACCAGCCTTGAATGTGTTCACTGCGTGAAAGTAGGGACGAGCATAAAACGAACGCTCATTTGACGCGAAGCGAATTGGGCCGAGTGAATCGCAAATGTCGGCATGCAAGTAGACGAAGCAGGCTAGGCTTTTGACGGAGATTTTTCGAGATTCAATTGAGAAACTGGCAATCACAATGCGACAATCACGTGTAGCCAAAGCTCACAATGTCTTCTCTCAACATCTGCAATGGTACATCCAGTCGAGGCAGCTGCCAAAATGTGTGTTAAGAGCACATACAACAAACGTGAACAAGTCACAATACATGCACTCCAGACCACCCCAATTGGTTGTGGTCATTACCGAGACTCTGCCTACCAGTCGGCAGATGTCTGCGTCGCCGAGAGCTTCAGCCCTAACAACACACCGAACGGACAAATACAGCCCGTAACTGGACGACTTGAAGACGCCTCCAGACTCGTTCACTGCAAAGTGGACTGCCGGACGGAGAGGCCGTTGCGACGCGCGAAGCAACTCAAGTCGACTTGAGCAATTTCGCCGCGTCAAGTGGCGGATGCGCAAGACGCTGTTTCGAAGCCCGTTGGGAGCCACGAGTTAATGAGAAGATCGACTGTAAGTACAACCCGTACAGAGGGACACTATCAAGGAAAGTTGATATTAAAGTTGGCCTGGAAACCAATTTTCGCTAGAAAACCAAGAAGGTTTCCAGGAAAAATGTAGATCCTAAAATGCATAATGCGGGTGTTTGCCAAAAAGAAAACGACTGTAGATATGAGGATTAGCTGGGTTTCGATGAATCTCTTGAGAAATACTCTTGGCGAGACTTACATTTCGTAGCAAAGTGTAACACTTTGCTGAAATTAATAAATAAGGTTATACGTTAAATATGAGAAATGGTGGTCGAAAGTTGTGCTCGAACTATTTGTGCTTGGGAGATAGATTGAAGGAGAGAGAGGTTGTCCAGCCACCATCTAAAAGAGGGCGACTCAACCAGTCACTCACACTCGTCCATGCCAGATTAAGCTCATCAACCAGACCAGAAGTACGAGATTAAATAATCCCAGTCATGCCTTTCCATGAGTCATTGAAACTTTGTGCCCCTAGACTGAGAGGTTGTGATAGGTGATTTCGTAACCTGACCTACAGCTTACAAGCTTACATCTCATTTTCTCAACCAGAGTTGCTTATGGGCTTAGATAATCTCGGCCAGGGTCTTTTCTTTGGTCACTCTTGGGTCTTGACATTAAGCTTTTTCAATCACAATTATTTTGGACTGGTATTCCATATAGGCGTTCACACACACACGCACACACACACACATATATATATATATACACCAGTAAAATTACCATGACTAATATGACAGGGAATTAGCAAAATCATTATAAATCTATCTATAGATGTGTATATCTTTTTGTTTTTAGTCATGGGTGTGTATAAGACGTTAGATAGAGCTGGACTTGGCGTTTGTCAACTTGGCACTTTTGCTAAAATGAGTTGCAACTCTGATGATGTCCTGCGAATGATTGATGAAATCTTGACCCGGTTTCACCCGAAACCAGAGAGGATGTCTCGTGGACTGCGTCAACGTGAACGTCCAATTTAAGCCGAACGAACTGTATTCAGGTTTGTCAAAGGATCGGCTTCACTTGTCTCTTTGACGAGTTGTTGAATGGTGCTAAGAATGGCGAGACTCACTGACGATGCCGACTACGATGCCGGCGAAACGTCTGTGAATGTACCACGTCCACGGTCCTACTTTGGAAATGATGATGCATACAATGAACTCCGGACTAGGTGCGTTCCTTCAAGTCTTCCTACCAATATGACCGAGTTGCGAAAACAAAGTCAAACAACTTCTGTATTCACCCCATTTCGTTTAAGGCGGTCAATTTTCCCACTATCTTATGAGTAGAGCTGATGCTTCCAGTGAATTTCACATAGCCTTGCTTTCCCAAAAGGTGTTCTCATCCCGGTTGGAGTGGACTGCAGCTCCCACCTCGCCTCGTTCGTATCCGAGCCACACCCCCGGCGGAAGTCGAAGCATGACAATGCAGGGTGTACTCTCAACACGCCAACCACTACACCAGACTGCCACGAGTGCCCTTGGATCACAGAGCAGGCGTAAATCTCAAGACCTGCAATTTCCCAAATCACATTCTTTGATGGGAGTCTCGATGAAACATCGAATACATTAGTTATTTTTCATTTAAAATCAGTTTCTAGAATGCATCTCATACAACTGATTTACTGGCAGTCTCGAAACTCTGCCTATAAGCGAAAAATAAAAGTTGACACTTGAGGAATTTGTTGGTTTCTAATGGTATTCTATTAATAATAGCTCTAATCAGTAGCCAACCGACTGTACGCCCAAGTTCATTATTTCTCGCGGCCGCAGAGACAAAAAGGTTCATCGACGTAACCAAGCGTGTGCCCGACAGTGCGCAATCGTAATGAAGGTTAGGATATAAAAAAGTGAAGGTACTCACCTAAATTTGTTGACCTCGGACAAATGTTACGTTCTGTTCC